TTTTTTTTTTTTTTTTTTATAACTGGATCTTTGAATTCTTAAGGCATTGATTCTTATGTGATGTAGGTGTTGAGGGAAGTGAAATTTGTTTGATATATTAGAGTTCCAAATAAAACTATGTTGACACTTTTTAAGGACAATGCTACAAATTTTTAAAGGATATATTATGAATTTATTTTTCTGGACATTTCTCTTATGTCTTTGATTTTACTTTCTCTGGATATTAATTATTTTTATAACTATTATACATCATTACAAAATTATGTATAATTTATATATACATTGTAATAAATTTGAATTAATACATAATATTTTTTATTTCTTCGTCCTTCCCTTTCTTTTACTAAATCCGTTTTGCTTTTTGGTCGGGGTTTTTCAGGTTTGGTTTGACTTCCCACCTTTTCAGGCCCCAGGCTTTATTTTCCACTTCTTTTTTTGTTTCTTTTGTTGCAGTTTGGGTTCTTTTTTCTCTTTTTTTGCTATATTTTTTTTTTTTTTTTTTTTTATTTTTGTTTTTTATGTATTTTTTATTCTTTTCCTTTTTATTTTCCACTTCATTTTTTTTTCTTCCAAATTCTTTAGTTTCTAACCTTGTTTTACTAATCTTGTAATTAATTGTATGATCTATTTCGTAAGATCATTTAAGTTTCTAAAGCATAATTAGCTTATATCGAACAGTTTTATACTTGCAGGGACTCCCTAATGGACATCATAGAACCGGTTATTGATATTGTGAAGGATGTTGGCCCTACGTTTAGGAGATATGTCAAGTATCAATTTTGCCTCAAGGATTATGTGCATGAATTTGAAAAAATGCAAAAGAATCTGGAGAGCCGACTAAAAGACATTGAGGCAGAGATTGGGACACAATGTAACCTGCAGCCTAGAAAGGTAGCAAGGAATGAAGTTAACACTTGGAGGGAGGAAGCACGCAAAGGAACTGCCTATAAGGTTGAAGATCTGATATGCGAAGGGGGCTGTTTCACATATATTTGCTCATCAAGAAGGCTTGATAAAATGACTCAAGCACTAAATGAAGGAATATTTAAGCAAGGAGAAAAATATATTATTGATGGTGTGAGTTTGGTCGTAGATGATCACTCAATCAGAGGAGTTCCCCTGCCTGTTGAAAAGTGCAATGGCAGGGATGATATGCAGAAACAAATTCTAGAATGGTTGAAAGGAGACCAGGTTACAAGAATTGCAGTTTGGGGAATGGGTGGTGTGGGCAAGACAACAATTATGAAGCAAGTCCACAACCAACTGTTGAAAGAATCCAAATTTAGAGTTATTTGGGTAAAAGTGTCAAAAGACTTTGACATTATTGTCCAGCAAAAAAAGGAGTTTGATGTTCTCAAGTTTCAGAAAAGGATTGCAAGTAGCTTGGAGTTAAAACTGGAGCCAGAGGATCATGAGAATGACACAAAGCTTGCAGGATTGATTTCACAAAAGTTGCAGCAGGGCAGCTATGTGTTAATTCTAGATGATGTGTGGCAGCAATTTCGTCTAGAAGATGTTGGAATTCCTTATCTAGATGGCAATAATGGTTGCAAGTTAGTGCTTACAACACGGTTACAAGATGTTGCTCGTGCAATGGATTGTAAGGTGATCCCTGTGAATCCTCTTCCACCTGATGCAGCATTGGCATTATTCTTAGAGAAAGTTGGAAGTGTAGTGTTGTTAAATGGCAGAATTAAAAGAGATATAGAACCATTTTTGAGGCAAATTTTGCAAAAATGTGACGGAGTACCCCTTGCTATTGTGCTAGTGGCAAAAGCTATGAGAGAAAAATTGGATCCTCGTTCATGGAAGTGGGCACTTTCTAAATTGAGTAAATTAGAAGGAATTGTTGATCGTTTGAAATTTAGTTATGAATGTCTAGAACCACAATGCCGAGATTGTTTCCTATTCTGTGCATTGTATCCTGAAGATTATGAAATCCCAAAGGAGGAGTTAATTGAGTATTGGATTGAGGAGGGGTTTATAGATAGAGAAGGGGAAACTAGGGACACAATGAATTGTGAGGGTCATGTTATACTTGAGAAGCTAGTTGATAACTGCATGTTGGAATCAGTTAAAAATAGAATGGGAGAAGATTGTGTGAGTATGCATGATCTTCTTCGAGAAATGGTGATGGAAATTCGTCCTCAATTCTTGGTGAAAGCTGGCATGGGTTTGGAAAAGCTACCAGAGGAGTATGAATGGAGAGAAGATCTTTTGAAGGTTTCTTTAATGAGGAATTACATAGCAGAAATTCCTTCAAGCATGTTTTCTCCGAAGTGTCCAATGCTCACAACATTGCTGTTGTCCAATAACAAGATTTCAACAATTCCAGAAGCTTTTTTTGAGCATATGCTTGGGCTCAAGATTCTTGATCTTTCCAATAATCTCAAGCTCGGTAGCCTGCCGAGTTCTATTTCCAAATTGGAGAAGCTTACTACACTATTGCTGGGGGGTTGTCGGTCCTTAAGGCAGGTACCATCTTTGTCCAATCTTGGAGGCTTAAAAAAGTTGGAGCTTTGGGGGACATTAATTAGAGAACTGCCCGAAGGCCTCAACATGTTAACCAATCTGAAATATCTTAATCTTGGTGAAGGATTTTATAATATACCTGATGGACTGCTACAAAATCTCTCCAAACTTCAGCATTTAGATGTACATGGCTTAATACCATTGAAAGGGGAGGAGATTGGAAGATTGGGGAAGCTGGAATTTCTCTATTGTTGGTTCTCTACAATGCATGATATGCGCATCTTTTTCAATTCTGGAGGAAACTTTCTAAATATGTATGGTCTTTTTGTTGGAGGCTACACCAACATTTTAAGTGATTTGAAATTGAAATCCATTGTCTGCTATGATATTAATATCTGTGGAGAGCCTAATTGGCTACCATTTGATGTGCAAAGATTGTTCATCCATTGTTGCAAGGATGTGAGAAGGCTGAATGACATTTCTGGCTTTCAAGATGCAACTGACTTGCGGTTTGTTGATATTCAAGATTGTGATGATGTGGAGTTTGTTCTTCCCTTGTCTTGGCTTTCAAGATGCAACCTTGAGGGGCTACGTCTTTCTTGTTTGGATAACTTGAATGCAGTGTTTGGTGAAGCAGGAGCAGTTGTTGAGATAGAACCATTACCGGCCGTAACATTTTCCTCTCTTAAACAAATTAATGTTTCTGGATGTGATAAAATAAAGAAGTTATTCCCGGTTAGGTGGTTGGGATATCTCCAGAATCTTCAGATGATTGAGGTTATATGGTGTAAGCAAATACAAGAGATAATATGGTTCGAATATAAAGAAGAAAAGGCCTTAGAAAAAGTCACTTTACCGAAGTTAGAAAGCATTGAGATTGAAAATTTGCCCGAGTTGAAGAGCATCTACAGTGGTTCCAATACTGTTTTGATTTGTGATTCCATTAAAAGCATTAGAATCGAGAATTGCCCAAAAATAGAGAGTGTTTTTGGCTCAGGGTTCAATCCAATCCCAACCCTTGAGTATCTAACTCTTCAAGGGTTAGCAAATTTGAAATCTGTGTTTGATGAAGAAGCTCCACCTCTACCTCATACAACCTTTTTCTCTCTTAAAACAATAAGGGTTTTTAGGTGTGATCAATTGAAGAAGGTATTCTCATTTGAACGGCTGCTAGGCAACTTCCAATTTCTACTTAATATTGAGGTTGGATATTGCAAGCAAATGGAGGAGCTGATATCACTATTGGCACACAAAGAAGAAGAAAAAGTCACTCTACCTATAGAAAGGTTGCAGTTGATGAGCTTACCTGCATTGAAGAGCATCTGCAATCACTCTAGTGTGTTGATTTGTGATTCCATCCAGAGTCTGAGGATTTTCGCTTGTGAGAAGCTAAAGAGGATTCCTCTGAATTTTCCCTTGCTTGACAATGCCCAATCATCTCATTCTTCTTCCCTCAAAGAAATTGTGGTATTCCCAGAAGAATGGTGGAAATCATTGGAATGGGACCATCCCAATGCAAAGGACATCCTTTTACCCTTCTGTAAATTTGAAGATGACCGTTTTTGGTGACAGAGCACTGCAAATGTAAGCTTTTTTATCTTCAATTTTCCATTTTCTGATTCAACTCAATAAAAGTTTTCATCTATCTTATTATATCTCTTCTCACCATTGGCAGTAAAATTGGAATTCAACTCTGTTACCACAAGAAAGTTGGAGGAAGTCACATTTGCACCTGTTGCTGTTTCTGTTTAATATAAATTTCCTATTCTTTGTTTTTCTTTTGCTATGTTTGTATTGTGTGTTTCAATATGTCAAATTTTAAGTGGAAAACTTGAAATGTTTGTTTCTTTATTATTTGTGTAATTTGTCTTTGAAACTGTGTGCAAAAAAGACTTAAAATTAGTTAAGATCTATCTAATTTCCTTCGGTATTTATATTTCACTGCATCTGCATCTGCATCTTTGCTTTTCTTGTAATATGCATTGCGGTTTGTTGCATTTGCATACCTCTTCTCAAACTTCATTCAACAACTAAGACTTACGTTCATCAACTATATCTGCACACTTGTTACTTTATCCTCTCAAAATCGCCAAAGATGTAGTGTTGAGGTCGGAGTACATTCTTTTCTTTTGCCTTTTTGAATATATTATATCATTGTATTTTCCGATTGCATGGTCTAAATATGATGGGAATCTGACTTCTCAAGTTACATTTTGTCTCGGTACCAGAGGAGAGCACCATATATATGTCTAGATAATTATGGTTTGTTTATAGAATGCTTGCTTGGTAGAGTTCGAGTGTTGTTGAAAAATTTTGCTGTTCAGTGTTATTTTAACTAATTTTTGGCTGGTACATCTCTAAAGCAAGCCAGAGTTCATCTTCTCTATACTGTGCCAACAGTAAAAATTATTGTCGAAATTATATATCAATGGAGAGAGGGATTCAACTGTTAATCTGCATTGCTCATCTCTTTGCTGGGTTTGCTACATCAATCCGTCCACTTCTCGGTCTGGAAAACTGCTTTGTCTCTTTGGGTTTCCTTTCTCTTATGTTTTCCTTCACGATATGACGTAGATTTCTCCAAATTTATCATTACCCCTTTTTATTTTTTTTGATTAAGTTAATATTTTTAATAAGTAGTGATTTAAAGAAAAAAAATTGAGATAAGTCATATTATTAAATTAATTAATATATATAATATTATTTAAAAAATTTTAAAAATAAAAAATTA